TTCTTAAGTTGAATCTGTATGTAAGTCAGAACTGGCATCCAGATTCAGCCGCGGTTGAAACTGATCAGTTTCAGCAGCGGCTGACGCCAGTTCCGACTTATACAGATTCAACTTAAGAACAAACCTACAGTCCCTATCTTGTACGTAACCCGGGGACTGCCTGTATATCGCATGCAGAATGTGAGTCATAGGTTGAAATATTCTCCTCTCTAGGTTCATGGGGGAAAAAAAATTCCCTTTTAGTTGTTGTTTGATTTTATAGCATAGGTAATAAAAAGCTGTTTGGTTTCTTAAACAAGTTACTGCTTACAATGTTAATGATTTAATGAAATGTTTGATTTATATTTCCTCATATTCCATTTGTGATGTTTGTAACTTTTTTTTAAAGGGGACCTTGAGTAAATCTGAATGGGAAGCAACTAGTAAGTACTGTTTACAATAGCTGAATACTATTGTTTACCAAAAACTTTCATAAACATGACTGTTTTGGACATTGTGCATGAATATAACCGTTATGCAGGTACTTTCAAATTTGGTGACCTAAAGTTAAGCGCTGAATAAAAGGCACCCTTTTTTTGTGTTCACTAGCTTTGAAAATCAGATTCCTTTTTATTTTGGTGCTTAAATATATATTTAGTTTATACAGTTTATATATAAAAGATTCAGAAAAGGGCAACAAAAATAATAAGGGATTTGGAATGGGTCCCATATGAAGAGAAATTAAAGAGACTGGGACTTTTCATCTTAGAAAAGAGGAGACTAAGGGGGGGATATGATAGAGGTCTATAAAATCAGGACTGATGTGGAAAAGTGAATAAGAAAAAATGATTTACTTGTTCCCATAATATAAAAACTAAGGGTCACCAAATGAAATTAATCGGTAGCAGATTTAAAACAAACAAAAGGAATTTTTTCTTCACGCAGCACACACCTGTAGAACTCCTCGCCAGAGAATGTTGTGAAGACCAGAAATTTAACAGGGTTTACAAAAGAACTACAGTAAAACTCCAATTGTCCGGCATCCAGTGATCCGGCACTCCTGATAGTCCGGCACCAACTGGAACCCGGAAGTGCTCCAGCCAGCCCAACAATTGGAGCTCCTGTGAGCTCCACGCAAGTTCAAGGGTCGGGAGAGGGGAAGGGGATTATACCCCTGTGACGGGTCTGCTGGGACCCACACTGCGGCTGGCCGGGGGCGGGGGCGGTGGGGAACAGTGCAGCGAGGGGCGAACCCTCCACTGTTTTGCAGGGAGGCATGGGAAAGCTCAGCGCAGCCGCCTGCTACAGGCCAGCTGGGGCTGCAAGTGGTGGTGGAGGAGAGGGGGCAAGGCGAGGGGTGGCGCTGCGGGACCAACCCGGCAGCACCCCAGCTGCTCTGCCCCACGGCTTCCCCAAGTCCGCCGCTGCTGAAACTGACCTGCGGCGAACTTGGGGAAGGGCAAGGAGAGCAGACG